TCACAAAGTCTATCAAACTCATCAAGGTGGTCAATGGGGTCCTCACTTGGCAATCCATGGAACATCTTGTTCTGGACAAGGTTGATCATTCCCAGCTTGATCTCAAAGTTGTGGTTCTGCACTGGTGGTGGAACAATCCCTTGTCTCTGTTGGTGGCGGTTTGGAGCATCTCCTTGACCAATCGGTCGAGTTTGCCTAGCTCGACCGAGTCCATTCCCAAAGGGTTTCCATTCCCCTCTGGTACATCCATTGTATCAGCAACAAGCACCTCAGGTTCCTCTTGTACCCTCTGTGACCTCTGAACCCTCTTTCTACCCGTTGTAATGTCTAGCTCGACCAAGTCTTCAGTAGACCGACTCGATCGAGTTCGCATACACCTGCAAAAAGAGACAAAAACCCAGCAGTACAATAGAACAGGGGTGGTATAGCTTGATCGTCCAAGTGTGTTTGAAACTCAAATGCAACAAAAATATCCCAAATCGGCAACGGCGCCAAATTGATGATAGGATTTTGTGTGATGTGAATGAAGATGATATGAAATGAGGTGGAATGCAAACAGGGTAATGAAGATGAAGATGCAAACACAATCAATCAACAATTCCTCTTAACCATCATAGTCATTGAAGTATAAGAGGTTATCAATCCAAAATGGGAAACTTGTCACTCTATGAGAATATGAAACAACCAGAAAGTCAAGCAAGCAGTTAAGATTTGAAGTAACACTAACAACCTAAAAAAAGAAAAGCAGTGCAATAAAAGTAAACAAAGCAGTGAAGTGTCAGCTCGACCAAGACTCGAGTCGAGTCAGAGCAAAGTACCAGCTCGATCGAGTTTAGGGTCGAGTTGAGACAAACAAAGCTAAAGGTGACGACTTTAACAAGATAAAGAGAGAATTAGGGTTCAAGACAGGGTTTTGCAATCAAAGGAATCTACACTTAATCAATCTAGCTCTTAAAACTCCTTGTATCAAGGCTTCTCTTGATATTGGGCTTCTCAATGCCTAGCCAACCCTTTCCCAAGGTGGAGGCTATCAACCAAGGAATGATCTCAGAAACAGGGGGTTAGCCAGTGAGAATCAAACCTTGGAGGCTATAGGATCATTGCCCAAACTAATCCATCCAACCCCTTAGACCTCTATTGTCTAGAGCAAGAGATATTGGAGCTCTTAGTGGATCTTTTCCAGCGAATGCCATCACTTTCGTGTGGGGAGTCGCCTAAGGACTTACAAGCCAGGGGTAGTGGTCATGTAGCCTTAAGATCTATCCAAAAGAGAGAGAATCTAGATTAAGACCATAAGCTAGAAGGATTAAGCATATGAAACCTCTAATCTATCCCATCTCAAACCCTAATGGGTAACTACTCACTACACATGAATGTAAACACAAGCAAATGCAATAAAAGAGACATCATAAGAAAGAGGAGATGAAATTAAACAACTTTTATTGAAATAAGCAAGTGCAAATACAAAGAGATTATCCAGGATCTAGGATTCAAGAAGCAAGAGCTTCAAGAACACAAAGATGGGATTAGATCTCTAAAAAGTAAAAGACAATAAATTAAAAGAAACTAAAACAAAATAATCTAAAGCTTGGTGGTTTTTTCGTGGCTTAGAGCCTTTAAATACAAGAGGATTAGGTTTAGGGTCAAAGGAAAGTCAAGGGGGAAGCAACATTTTTCGGGTTTGACTTTGACTTCCCCAGCTCGATCGAGTTGAAGCTTGGCCGGTCGAGTTGAGGAACTCGACCGGTTGGTCGAGTGGACGGTCGAGCTGGTCTTCAAGATGGCTTCTCCCTTCTTCCTTTGCGTATCCAGTTGAGCTGCTTCCATGTGCCAAGTCCCTCCATGCTCCTTATGTCCCATATGCTCCAGAATGCTCCAAAAGACCTATTTCAAAGGACCAAACATGCATATGTATGCAAATGCAACCTAAAACTAACATGAATGCATAAGAAGAGAAAAGGAACAAGATATGATGCAAATGGAAGCTAAAACTATGCAAAAGATGCATAAAAGATGTGCTAAAACTATGTAAAATGCAATACATCACAATTTCGAAAATTGCACTCAAAAAGAAAAGCATCATGAGAATTTGCATTTTAGGATTGAGTCTAGATGCATATCATTTGCATTTAGGATTGAGTGAGCATATCAATTTGCATAGAGGACAATGTGATTTTTCGAAATGGTTTCAATGGTCCGGTTTTGAATCATTTGGTGCATATAGAGTGAGCTTGAAGTTAAGAAAGAACCACACCTTGAATGCACTCTTTGACATCTAGAATCGGCTGAAGCATTGTTGTGATTTGATCTCTCATCCTGCTTATCGAAACCTGAATTTGATTGTTAATTATCATCCTTGTGCATTTGCTAAGAACTCGCGGATACATATACATACTTGGATTATCTTTCACCCTTTTCACCACTCTTGTTAATCCAAGTAGATTTCCCCACCTTGAACCAACCTTTCTTTGAAACCAAGTTGTTATTTCTGAGTGTGTAAGGCCTTTTTGGTTGAGCTTGGTAGAAAGTGTTGGGTTTTTACCGACAAGGTCTAGGCTTCCATGTAGATTCTAGCTCGGTCCTTTGAGCTAGTTAGGACTAAGTTTGGGGGAAACACCATTTGGGCTTGGGGAAGTTCTGAAAAAAAGGAAAAGAAGAGAAAGAGTTCCAAGGAAAGTCCTAAAAGGGAAGAAAAAGTTAAGCCGAGTCCCTTAGGAGAGAGTAGTGAAAGTGTTATGCTCTAGTGAAGGTTTGGGAAAGAAAAAGAAAAAGCTCTAGCTAGAAATAAAAAGAAAAGGCAAAAGCCAATTTAGAAAAGAGCCAAAAAAGCCAAACAAAAGGAAGATCCCAAACCGCTAGATGAAGTTTAGAAACCTCTCCTAAGGACTTGAAAGCAAAGAAAAGAAAAGGTTCCAACAAAGGGTAAAGAGTTAGCTTTCTTGGGTAGATAGGATCTTGGGAAACAGGGGATTGCACTTCATTGTTCTTGGGTAGATGGAAGTCTAGCCTTGTATCATCCTTGGTTTTCACCCTTAGCATTCTACTAAAGCTCAACCTTCTTTGAGAGATCCCTTGTGCTGATTTTGAAACCAGAAAACAGGACCATCTCTTTGTCCTTTGAAGCTTATCCCTTTAAGCCAAGCGAGCTCTTTGAAATGCATAAGTGGTTGATTCACGGTTCTGTTATAATTGAATGTTAAAGGATGAGAGCTATTTGAATGCATTGTGGAAGTTGAGCCTAGTGTTTTTCTGTTGCTTTGATGGGTGTGGCTAAAATTTAGAAGTAGAGCTCATTCGCCTTGCATTTTATGATTCTCAACCTGATCATTGACTTCATTTCCTCTCATTGCACTCTTGAGTTTCGAGTCCTTGATATACAGCATTTCTCAGATTTGGTCTTCTCGCTTGAGGGCAAGCAAGATTCAAGTTTGGGGGTGTTGATATACACATATATTAACATACATTAGCATACATTTTCATTCATATTTCCATCCTATTGGCCTTATTCTCATACATTTATATCCATATATCTCTATCTATTCACATTGCATCTTCATTAGGACTTGCATTGCATATACATTGCATTTTGAGTCTGAATCAGGTGCTTAATGGAGCTTTTGGAGCCATTTGGGAGAAGGAGTGTCGGAGACGTCAAGACAAAGAGCAACCGGGATGCGAACCAGGATCAGAACCCGTTTGTCGCCTTACAAGCTTTCTTTGACCAAGAAGAGAGTTGACCATGCCTTAATGAAACGCAGCGTTCTGGAGCTTAAATCTTGGGAAGGAAAGAAGAAGGGTTTTAGAGTCTCCCACTATATAAACTAAAAAGTCCTAAGTTTTTAGGCACCTTGTAATTTGTCTTTCATTTTGCCACCAAGAAATACTCTAGTTGAGATCTAGACTTTGTAAGCTTTGGTCTCTTTCTCTTAATCAAATCACGTACTTGTTTTCATTTTATTGCATCTCATTTACTTGTAAACAACCTTCCTCTTATGAGAATCGGGTTGTCAAACAGGATGAGTGAGTAGTCTTTAGATTGTTTTAGGTGATTCGGTTTTGAGAGCTTTAAGGGAGTTTTGAGCTTAAAGCTAGACCTTTAGAGTTTCTCCTTGCTTAGTGCCCTTAAGGCTGAGTCATTTCTGATCATCTTGGCTCAGATCTCAAGCTCTCAACACATCAAAAGTGTGTTTGAGGAGCTAGATAATCTAAGACAAGGGATCTGCTTTTCTAGCTCGCGATAGCGATTTGTTTAGAGAGCTCTTTGGTGTTGGGATCCGCGTTTAAAGCTTGCTCGTGTACAAGCTCACTAACGATAGTCAGTTCTTGAGCTTGGACCTTGCATTCGAGCTCATTCACGACAGTGATAAGCTCTTGCTTTCGTTTTCCATAGCCTAGAAACTCGGTTTTGTCTTCTAAGTCTTAAAGCTTCTTCCTTTAGCTCGATTCTCATCCGAAATCGCCTAAAGCTATCGCCTTTCTTCCTTTCTCTCACAAAGTTCAAGTCTTTTAGCTCAAAGTCGAAACCTTTGCCTTTGAATTCGGATTTGGACCGTTAATTTACTGTTCTAAGTTGATATTTCACTGTTTAACGTTCGGATTTCTTAAAAACCAAATCTTGTTCTTGGCTTGAAGCTTTCTTGTTCAATCTTTAAAACCCAATCTTCTCCGAGATTTGGATTGATACCTTAACTATACTACGATGATATGAGCAGAGATTTGAGGGTTTGGATCTTCTACAAATCTAGTTTTTCAATGAGTACAAGGCTGCTTTCATCAACCACTTCTACACCAAGCAAAGATCAATTTCTGTAGGAACAAGATCTCCAACTTTCGCCAAGCCAACAATGAATCTTTCTATGAGGCGCTAGACGATTCAAGGAGTACATTAGGGACTGCCCTAATCATGGTTTCAATGAGGGAAACCTATGGAACATCTTCTATCGTGGCATAGACCACAAGTACAAGCTTTCATTGGACACTGCAAGCAATGGAAACTTCATGACCAAGACTGTTGATGAAGCTAAGGTTCTTATTGAGAATCTTGCAGCTAGTGATTGTAACAACTGTCCTGATTATGACCGCTCAAGCCGCACCACTACTAGCTCCCCTGATTCTTTTCAAATGACTGAACTCAAGAACATGATGGCTCAAGTTCTTAAGGGACAGCTCAAGCATATCAATGCAATAGAAGGGATGAGTGATGCTAATGAAGACCCATCAAGAGAATGCATGGGAGATTTCTCTAATGAAGCCAATGAAGAAGATGTGAACTACATTGGAAACTATGGGAACAAGGGATACAATCCAAGCTATCGCCCAAACCCCAACATGTCTTATAGAAACCCCAATGTGGAGAATCCTCAAGACCAAGTGTATCCTCCAAGGTATCCACAACAACAAAGACCTCCTTACCAATCTCAAGGAAGTCAATTTCAGCCAAGGCAAGGTATGAGCAGAGATCATCATATCCGCCCAAGGAGCCATATGCTTCTTCACCAAATCAAGCTCCTCCAAACCAACAAGGTGGAAGATTTGAAGGAATCCTCCAACAGATCATGGATGGCCAGAAGAGAACACAAAGAGATGTATGAGAAGATGGACACTTTGTTCAGCAATCTCAACACCAAGTATGATGCTGTTGCCACTCATGTGAAGAAACTAGAGACTCAAGTCACCAAACTATGGAAGCTGTTAAGAGACAGGAAGCTGAATCCAAGAAGTCCTTTTGCAACTCAGCCGCCATAGAAGAAAGATTTGAAGACCAAGTTCCAGAATGGATGCTTTCAAAACCTACTGTTGATTGCATGATTTGGCCTGAAGAGAATTACCCAGAGAGAGAGTCCAATCGAGCTAGAAAGAGAAGACTCTTCCCAAAGATTATCCCCAAGACAGATAACTCAGGAAAGTTTTGTGCCTTGTATCATCAAAGGTAACATTCTTGAGCAATCTTTGTGTGACACAGGAGCCAATGTGAACATCATGTCTAAGAGGATAGCTGACAAGATAGGCCTCACCAAGATAGAGCCATCATCCATCTCCATCAACTATGCTGATTCATTCTCACAAACCCCTATGGCTTTGTGCCTAATGTGATGGTGCAGATTGGAAATTGCTCTATCCCTACTGATTTCCAGATTGTGGAAATGAGAGAGAGTAGCCATAGACCTCTCATATTTGGAACCCCTTTCCTGTCTACTGTGGGTGCCATATTTGATTTCCCCAATCAAAGAATCTCTTTCAACAAGGTGAACAAGGGTATGTTCTTCCCTATGTGTTCAACAAAGAACTCTTTTGTTGACATGGTCCAAGAGGAGAAAGTTACTTTGAAGCCACCCCAAGAAGGAGAAACTGAAGAACAATCAAGGAAGATCCCATTCCTAAGCCCAAGCAGCTTGCCAAACAAGCAAGGAGTAAGACTAAGGCCCCTACACCAAAACCGCCCAAGGGATCAACCAAGATTGAAGATGAGGCCAAGCCAAGAAGGAAGGTAGAAAGCCTAGGTCTGGCCGCAACATGAAGCTTCTATTCCCAAAGGAGCTTATTGATGAGAATCTAGAAGGATTCAAGGAGAAAGTGACAAGAACTCTAAAGCTTTTTCCTAAGGCATTTGTGCCAAGGGACATTCATGGAGAGATTGTCTATCCAGCTGTGAATCACCCACCAGATACTTATTGCTGATATATCCATAATTTACATGATTTTACTTATTATTTTCATGTGTTTTTAAGCACTTTCATAAAGGTTTTATGCCTTTGGAGGTAGTTTTCTTGTATTTGTTGGTTTTGGAGTCTTAACAGGGTAAACTATCAAAAAGGATGCAAAAAGGAGCAAAAGAGCCTCAAGCCATGATCCATGCAAGTTTCCAAGTCAAGAGCATCATTTTATCTCCAAGTGTTAGTTCTCGCTAGGCGAGCAGAACGAAGCTTCGGAAGTTTGGCCGCGCGAAGAGGAGTTCCCGACGTCCAAAAGTCACTATCTTAATATGGAAAGATAGATACTTGAGTCATGCATCACGTCGAAGTGGAATGAAGCCATTTGGATCAACCATAAGGCCGGAACTTATTTTCTACCGAGACATGTCCGGTAAACGAGCAAACGAAGCCCATGGAGGATTTGGAGTGTCTAATGGCCCGAGCAGCAGCGCCAAAGGCCTTGATTGAATAAAGAAGAGGCCTGGCTAATGTTTGGAGCTTTCCTTGGTACAATATCGGCCCATACACGACGTGGAGAAGAAGGACTGGCTCATGGGAAACTTTCCTTTTCCGGCACTTCAATACCCTAACCGACCTACAACCTATATATGCAAGTTTTTAGCCTCTGGAGAAAGGAGAGAAGCGTGTGCGCCGTCAGAGAGGAGATAGAGCCGTCCTGGAGAGCAGAAGAAGCAGAGAGAAGAGGCGTTTCTCAAGATCTAAAGCACACACACACACAAACCTTCACACTTTGTTCTTCCTTTTCTCTTAAACTTTGTTATTTCGGATTTGAGAGTTTCAAGGGAGATTTCGACTTGTTCTTCAATAGAGAAGCTTTCTTCATCCCTTATCTCTTTTAATATTCACATAATGCTCTCATACATCTCTTGCTTGTTTGTTTGCATCATGGCTGAGTAGTCCTATTGTTGGGTTCAAGAGTTTTCAAGGGATTCATGGATTGATCACTAGGTTGTTAGATTCGGGATTATTGATTGAGTTCCTCATCTTGATTTGTGCTTAATGCTTATAGCTTTGACTGAACGTCCTGCTACTGCCCTAGAGTTGATTTACTTTCCGAAAGCTTGATAAATCACTTGAAATAATCTTGATGAACAAATCACCATAACCTGCGGGAGTAGAATTATGATGCTTTGTGGAGCATATTGAATTTGAATTATTTGTGCTTGTTTAACCACTTGATTGCCTATGGGAGTAGAGTGATCTTAGGTTGTTAGACATTTTAATTGACATTGCGGGAGTAAGTTGATTATCCATTCATAATTCAAGTTCTTGATCATATCTATTGATTCCTTGTTTAACTATCCAATAAACCAATCCTTGATGACCTATGAATTCTCTTGTGCCCAATGCTTTCCCTATTGATTTGATAACTTGTTTCACTTGATTTCAAGCTCACTCATTGTTATTTTCGCCACTGTTCACAGCTCTAAAACCAAACCCCCATATTTTAGTTTTAGCTAAGTTTTAATCTCATAAGCTCATAGTGCAACTTTTCTGGTCCTTGTGTTCGATAACCCATACTACCAACGATCCGTGCACTTGCGGTATCTACTAATAGTTGGGTAAAACTTATCCCACATCAAGTTTTTGGCGCCGTTGCCGGGGACCAAACAGTTGCCTAAGAGTTTCGGATTAGAGTTTAGACTAGAACATTGTTTAAATTCATTTTTATTTGCATTTCCCTTTGGATTTTTGTTCTTATTTTTACTAACTTCTTTACTTCTCTCTATCTTTGTGTGTTTCAAGGTACCTTGATTAAGAGATAGGAGATCTTAAAGAAGGATTCACGAGACATAGAAGATGGAGCCTCAAAACCGCCCAATCGGAGATTTTGATTCACTAGACATCTTCTTCACAAAACGCCCACCTATATGCCCTTTACCACCTACTGGAGAGTTTAAGATAAGCTCTAAACTCATTGCTTTGGTGGAGCAGCATCAGTTTCGTGGCCTAGAGGAAGAGCAGCCCATTGATCATATTGAGAGGTTTGAAGAAATCTGCGCTACAAGGAGATATAGTGGAGTTTCTGAGGATTACTTGAAGTGTACTCTATTCTCTTTCTCTTTGATTGAGAAGGCATACAAATGGATGAGAGCTCTTCCAGCAGGATCAATCACTACTTGGGATGAGTACAAGAGAGCTTTCTTGAAGAATTTCTACCCAAAAGAGAGATTAAAATGGATGAGAAGAAGAATCTCAGAATTTCGACATGAAGCACATGAATCTTTCTTTGAGGCTGTTTCACGGTTCAAGGAGTACAAGAGAGAGTGCCCTCACCATGGTTTTACTGAGATTGCTTTGCTAAACTTCTTCTATCAAGGAGTTGATGAGAAATTCAAGATGGCGCTCAACACAGCTAGTCAAGGGGACTTCATGACTAATACTATTTCTCAAGCCAACATTCTCATTGATAACTTGGCAGCAAGCAGCAAAAGTTCAAGCCAAGACTATGTGCAAGGCGTGGAGGAGATCAAACCAAAATCTGATTTTTCAGAAATCTTTGAGCTAAAGTCATTAGTTGCTCAACTTCTCAAGAGCCAACAAGGCAATGGTGACCTATGTGAGAACGTGGTGGCCTCTAGCAGAAAGGATAATAAAGATTTGAGTGGTGAAAGTTCTTCTAAGCATCAAGAGGGAGTGAATTATGTTGGTGAGTTTGGAAATATCAATGAAAACCGAAATCAAAACGGTTTTAACCATGGAAACCCTCAGCCAAACATTGAAGATCCTCTTCTAGACCAAGATCACGTGGTCATGACACCTAAAGAGAGAAACCTTGAAGCTATGATGCATCAGTTCATGGAGAATCAAGAGCAATTCATTGAAGGAATGAAGCAATGCGCCAAAGATAACAAAAACCTTGGTTTCAAGATGGATAGCATGCACGATCATCTTCAAAGGAGTAACCAGGAGCTGTATGAGAGATTTATCAACCTCTCTAATCATGTTAAGATGGTGGAAGTGCAAGTTTCCCAAATTGCAGAAGGATCCAAGAGACAAGCCAATGTTCTTCCAGAAAAAGTGGAGGAGAACCCTAAGTTTTGCAAGGTGATAACAACCAAGAAGAAGGATGCCGTTTCACAAGCCCCTAGAGTTCAATCAACCTCCAAGCATCATGTGACAAGACGTGAAGATGATGAGCCTATTTCAAAAGCACCACATCAAAGGAGGCTTAAGAAGAGAGAAGATCCAGTGAAGTTTATCTTCTCTTGCACAATCAATGGTATTGACTTTATTGAATCTTTGTGTGATACAGGATCTACAGTGAATCTCATGTCTAAGATCATAGCAAGGAAGCTTGGGATTGTAGAGATGGAGCCTCCTGGAAAGATGCTTAAGTTTGCAGATGCTTCTAGCACAACTCCATGTGGCTTTGTGCGTGATCTAGAGATGCAAGTAGGTGGATGTCTAGTCCCCACCGATTTCCACATCATAGAAATGCAAGATGAAGCTTCTATGTCGCTGATCCTTGGGACTCCTTTCCTTACAACCGTGGGAGCAATGTTTGATTTTCGCAAGGGACAAGTTTCTTTCTCTGAAATCAAGAAGAAGGTCTTCTATCCTGGCGTTCCTGCTGAAACCTCGTGTTGTACAACCATCTACAGTGAGGAGAGAGCAAGTTTAGACCCTGGAGATGACATTAAAAGGTCACAAGACGTTCCTCAAGAAGCTCTCTACATTGGATCTTATGACATTTTCAAGTCAGCCCCAAGTGCAGCCAAGCTACCACCAGAGGAAGCCACTCTCACGACCAAGGAAGGAGCCTTGCCGCCTAAAGATCCAAAGAAAAATGAGCACTATCCCAAACCAAAGGAGAGGAAGAAACCATCGGAGCTGAAACATAAAGATGTCTTCAAGGACCTCCACTCGGTTTTGCCTCCCCCCTTTGATGAATATGAAGCTAAGGAGGAGCCTGATGGTTTGCCTAAGTCCCTTACCAAAATACGAATCCTTGTACCTAAGGGTTGTGACCCAAAATAAGATCCTACCGCAAAGGAGAAGCTAAAGAACACCTTAAGGCTCTTCCCGAGTGCATTTGTCTTCAAAGATGGCATGGGAGATGATATTGGCGTGCCCAAACCACCACATGAACCCCCTGGACAAGAGAAGGAAGAAGCAAAAGGGATCCTAAACCCCTTAGTTGATGCTCCAACCAACTAAGAAGAGGCATAAAGTCAAGCTAAAGACTTAAAACAAGCGCTTTGTGGGAGGCAACCCACATGGATGAAGAACCAAAAGGAGACCAATACAAGGAAGTGTCCCACCCAATGAGCCCACCCTTACAAGGCGTTTCTCCTTCAAAAGGTAAGTAACTTCTTCTCAATCATTCATTAAAAACCATCTCTGATCTTAACTCATGAGCATTTGAACCATTGCACTTCATTATATACTTTTCATGGTTTAATTTGCTTAATATTGATGGTTAATGAATGAGAATACATATCACTTGTCAAACTCATCTTATGCATTGATTCACTTATATTAGACTATTTTGAACATGGGGATCTCTCATTCAGACCCAACATGTTTATTTGGTTTATACTTCTTTGGATTGTGAACTTCAAGTTTACTTGAGGATCTCAATCTAAGGCCATTAACAGTGATTTCAAGTTTTTTGCAAGGAGTTAACATTTGACAGGAAGGAGAAAAAAGCAAAACCAACCAAAACCAACATGCATATGGCGGCCAAAGGGAGGTTAAAGGAGATATACAGGCCATCACACGAAACAAGGCGGCCACCACTTGGGAATGACACAGGAGGGTTAAAACAATTCGGTCGAAGAAAATCTCAATTGGCCCGAGTGGATTTGAAGAAATTCAATCCGGACATTCTCTCGGCCATGCGCGCAAGGAGAACCAATTCGGCCAACTCCTAAACGGCGTGACCAAAGTCCACCAAACTTCACAGGCGACCATAAATCACATTTTGGTCGGCAAATCCAAAAGATAGGACGGAGAAATCATCACGGATCATGAGATAGACGACGGAGCTCATTCTGGCCGATGGCGCGCAAGCAATATGGCCGACAAAACCAAATCACGGCATAGGCGCGCCAACCGGTTGGAAAACTCTTCTTTGAGCTTAACTAACACTTTTATGCAGGAAGAAACGAAAAGGAACGAGCCAAACTTCACATGGCCAAGGAAACTCCTTCCCGGAGCCGACTTGACCATTTTGTGAAGGAAGTCTCAATCCGCTCGTCAAATGCTCCCAAACTTCACCAGAGGCTATAAAATACCAGGTTGGTCGATGAAATTTCAATATAGGTCATGAAATTTTTGACGGTTTGTTCTGTAGTTCACAGCACCACATTTTGGCCGACCGAATATACCAATCTCGGCCAAAACACAAACCGGCGGAAACCAAGGCCTGAAATTAAAAACTCACCGACCAATATTGCCTAAAGAAGTGTAGAATGACCCAAACCGGAACTGATCTTCATTATAAATTGGTCGACATTTGGTAACATCATCCTAAACCTTTTTCTTTTCAATTTTTCATTTGAACTTCATGTTATGCCTCTCTTAATCCGATTTGATTTCACCGGGACGGTGCAAGTTAAGTCTGGGGGGATTACTAACAATGTTTGTTCATTTTGGCGTTTTCATTTGCATTTTTCCCTTTTATCGAGTCGTTTTTATTGAGTCAAAATTTTTGTCGAGAATCATGACCTTATCTTGGATCTAACCATGTTGTACTAATGTTTAAGTGACCATTGAGCAGTTCTTGGCAATACATCTTACCACAGGTGCACTATGAGTTGATCGATCTACCAAAAACGCCTACATCTCTAAAGACTTGAGAAGGATCCATCTTTGACTCCGCCCTTAATGAACTTAATCTTCTCAGCTAGGGGCTTGGCATACAAATGGCATGATTCCTCATCCTCTCCATCAAATGAAAAAGTCTTAGTGAGTTCGTGCTTCCCTCTCTCTCCCCTTCAAATTTAAAAGAAAAAGCGTAAGGTCCAAGTAACCGGGGATTCGGTGGCAAACACCATCAATACTCGCGTCTATGGAAGGCCTATGAATCCAAGCAACCGGGGATTCGGTGGCAAACACCATCAATACTCGCGTCTGTGGAAGATCCAAGCAAAACCTCTATAATAAAGAGAAGGAGTTGAATAAAAAAATACTTCGCTACCCTAAAAAAGGGATGAATCAACTCAAAGAAGTGAGAAGAGAGAGAGGAGAAACATGGAGTAAAAGACAAGTGCCAAACAAGGGGATGAGTAAGAGTCTAAAGCCGGCTGATCGATACTCCCTAGTTGAGACCACACCTTTAGAAATGAAAGGAGTCAAGGGTGGCGAATTGGATTGTCCAAGGAGAGGTGGACCGCTTTGGGAAAATCGCAAAACTCATGGTATGTACTTTGTTCTTAATTCAAAATTTGCCAATGCTGTTTCATGTGGATTACTAAAGCATAAGTCAATTTGGATTTCCAAAAGATTTGAGAGTTCTCACGTTTTCAAACCTCTTTTCCTGCTTAGTTTGCTTGGGGACAAGCAAAAGGCTAAGTCTGGGGGAGTTGATATCACCATATTTTACATGATTTTACTATATTTTACCTATGTTTTCAAACGGTTTTTGCAAGATTCTTTGCCTTTAGAGGTAGTTTTCTTGTATTTGTGGGATTTGAAGTCTTTGTAGGTGAAATATCAAAAAGGATGCAAAAAGGAGTAAAAGAGCCTAAATCAAGATCCATGCAAGTTTCCAAGTCAAGAAGATCATTTTATCTCCAAGTGTTAGTTCTCGCTAGCGCGCAGAACGAAGCTTCGGAAGTTTGGCCGCGCGCGGAGGAGTTCCCGACGTCCAAAAGTTACGATCTTGATATGGAAAGATAGATACTTGAGTCATGCATCACGTCGAAGTGGAATGAAGCCATTTGGATCAACTATGAGGCCGGAACTTATTTTCTACCGAGACATGTCCGGTAAGCGAGTAAACGAAGCCCATGGAGGATTTGGAGTGTCTAATGGCCCGAGCAGCAGCGCCAAAGGCCTTGATCGAATAGAGAAGAGGCCTGGCTAATGTTTGGAGCTTTCCTTGGTACAATGTCGGCCCATACACGACGTGGAGAAGAAGGCTGCATGGAAACTTTCCTTTTCCGGCATGAAGAAAACCCTACGCGACTTCGCCCATATATACATGTTTTTAGCCGCTGAAGAGAGAGTCCGATAAGAGATGACGTGAGAGAAGAGAGAGAGAGAAGAGGCCCTAGGAGATCGTCCAAGAAGAAGGAGGCGCCGCTCAACTCTTGTTCTTTCTTTTTCTCTTACTTGTATTTGATTTAAGAGTTTTCAAGGGAGAATCCGACTTTGTTCATCAATAGAGAAGCTTTCTTCATCCCTTTATCTCTTTTAATACTTGCATAATGCTTTCATCATGCTTTGCTTGCTTGTTTGCATCATGGCTGAGTAGTCCTATTGTTGGGTTCAAGAGTTTTCAAGGGATTCATGGATTGATTACTAGGTTGTTAGATTCGGGATTATTGATTGAGTTCCTCATCTTGATTTGTGCTTAATGCTTATAGCTTTGACTGAACGTCCTGCTACTGCCCTAGAGTTGATTTACTTTCCGAAAGCTTGATAAATCACTTGAAATAATCTTGATGAACAAATCACCATAACCTGCGGGAGTAGAATTATGATGCTTTGTGGAGCATATTGAATTTGAATTATTTGTGCTTGTTTAACCACTTGATTGCCTATGGGAGTAGAGTGATCTTAGGTTGTTAGACATTTTAATTGACATTGCGGGAGTAAGTTGATTATCCATTCATAATTCAAGTTCTTGATCATATCTATTGATTCCTTGTTTAACTATCCAACTAAACCAATCCTTGATGACCTATGAATTCTCTTGTGCCCAATGCTTTCCCTATTGATTTGATAACTTGTTTCACTTGATTTCAAGCTCACTCATTGTTATTTTCGCCACTGTTCACAGCTCTAAAACCAAACCCCCATATTTTAGTTTTAGCTAAGTTTTAATCTCATAAGCTCATAGTGCAACTTTTCTGGTCCTTGTGTTCGATAACCCATACTACCAACGATCCGTGCACTTGCAGTATCTACTAATAGTTGGGTAAAACTTATCCCACATCAATTGCAAGGAGAAAAGACTTGGAGGATCAAAGATGCCTCTAGTCTCCATCTTCTCCTGAGCGCCAAGCCTTACAGTCAAGCTAAAGACTTAAAACAAGCGCTGCATGGGAGGCAACCCATGAGGTACTTTTACTTTTCTTTCTTTAATTTCTTAGTTTTTGTTTTGCTTTTGTGTTTTCTTTGTTTTAAGATAGGATAGAAGGAGAAAAAGGTGTGAAAACACAATCCGCGCCAAACCATTGGCCGCGGACGCGCAAAGAAATTTGGCCGAGCAAATTCCAACCGGGCCGACCGTACCGGTCGAGCCGGGAAGGAACGGCTCTGCTCGGCCGGACGAACTTAGCGCGACAAAACCGTCCGCGCAGACGCACGACAGAAGGGAACAGGCCGCTCGGCCGGATTTGTATCGGAACGGACCGACCGTACGGTCGATCCGGGAACAAACGATCGGCCTCGGCCGATTTCTCGTCCAAACAGTTTGGCCGACCAAATCGCTCGACCGCGACAAAAATCCATCGGCCATCGGCCCAAACTTTTCGGCCAAGGTAAGTCCCCTTTTCATTAAATTCAAACCGGTTTTAACCAATCCTAAACCAACTTAAACCGGTTTTCAATCAAAATTCGAATTTGAAAAGGAAAATTAATAGGATTTAGCTTTATTTACTTTACCTTTCCCTTGAAAAGAACAAGAACCTCTCTTTCTTCTCCAAAACCCTAAACTCCATTAGAGGAACTCTAAGAGCTTTGATTTCAAAACTTTTACTGTTCATAACTCTAAATTGGAATTTACTTGCTCTTCCCTTATTCACTTTTCAACACACAAGGTATGTCTTCTAACTCTAATCCATGTTTATGCAAGATCGAAATTTCAATAAGTTTCTTGTTTGGTCTAAACTCTTGTCTAAACTTGAAATTGCATTCTTATTAGTCTTGTAATGAACTTAGCTAGGTGGAACCTAGGTGGTTTAGAGTTATTTGAAGTTTAATTTCACAATTGAATAGTTTTTCACAAAACTTATTGGGCATTCCAAACCCCTTATTCAAAGGTGAAATTGCTTAGTCATACTTCAATTCATTAGTTTATCTAGTGATTACTTGGATTAGAAACTCAATTTCTCTTGATTTGCTAAAATTTGATTTTAGCACCATAATCTTGAGATGAACAGTAAAATCCGAAAATTAACTTTGAAAAAGTGAAATTTCCATTTTGTTTCTTTGATTATGATTAAGCCTTGAGTTGTTCCATTATACCATATCATTATTACAACTCAATTAGCTTATCTTTCTTTTGCATTAATCACAAACTCATGTCTCTTCCCAAGAATTTGCTCTTGTAGGTACCCAATGGCAAGGACAAAAGGAGGTGAGCCATGAAGAAGAAGAAAGATCCATTCATGCAACCACCAAGAAACAAATCAAGCTAGGGAGTAGTAGCTCCAATGCAAGAGCAGCAATACCAACATCACCACATTCCATTGATGCAATCAAGAACATGTGGAGAGTCCAAGAAGAGAAGATGATTGGGCACTTGTAAGCTTTGTTGGAGAACAAATCCAAGACCCAAGAAAGTGCAAGAAGGCAATGGAGAAGGTGAACATAGAACCTTGTGTGAAGATGGACACCCCAACCCTTGACCTTCTCAAGATAAGAGATGATGTCACATGGTATCTAAGGAAGCTTGGCTTGAGCAAGCTATTCAAGATAGAGTGCAGTGAGTACTCAATGCTAACCAAGGAGTTCCTCTCCACAGTAGCTCTTGCCTTTCCCAACCACAATGGAGACCAACCAGCTGGTGATGGACTCCTACTCTTCAAGATAGGCGATGCCAATGGGCGCATCTCCATCTCAGCTCTATGCCAACTCTTTGGACTTCCCAATGAGACAGCACATGACTTCAAGGAGAACTCAAAGAGGAAACAAGCTGCCTTTGCTGATTGGACACACTTTGCCAATGAACCATTCTTGCCTTCAAGATCAAAGGTGTCTAGAATCACTCATCCAGCCATTCGCTATGTGCACCGCCTCATCTCCACCACTTTCCAATGCAAACAAGAAGCCAACAAGGTCACAACTGATGAGTTCTACATCCTCACCACACCATTCATCAAGCATGAGTACAAGGCCAACCTTGGCCTTTTGCTTGCCAAGACATTATCAATGTGAGGAAGCTAGCTCAAGACTTGGAAGGCAACAAGAAGCTTTGTGTTCGTTTTGGGAGGCTCATCACGGCCATAGTACAACATGTGGGGATTGACATTCCCAACTATGAGCCACTACCCAAGCCAATCCCTTTGGATCTCCATGCCCTTCAGCAAATCCACTTCCTAAACCGTTGGACTCAAAACCCAACCAAGTTTTGCTATGAGTTTCCAATTGGACCAACCAACACTTCGCTTGTCTTGCTGCCACATGAAGATATCCCAAGCCTACGCTCAGGTGTTGTCACTTTCCAGCCCAAGGAGGAAGACTTCTATGTTCCATCAAGTGAGAAACCATCATTCCCCATCCTCACCTATCGCACACTTCAGCGCACAGTCAAAGCTCAACGCCGCCACCAAGAACGCCATGTTCTCACCACTGGCATGGCCGCGAACCAAGCTCTAGACCGTGTGAGCAAGCTGGAGAAGATCGTGGAGTGCCAATCTCGCTTCATCTCACGCCTAGTTCGTGTAGTTCGCCACATTGCACCGGAGAGACTCTTTCGCCCTTCTTCCACCGCTAGAGAACCATATGAGCCTGACCTTGGTGAGTTCTCACTAGACTCAGAGCTTGGTTCAGAAGGCGATGCCCCATAGAAGAGGAAGAGAGTTCTTCTCACTGCCACACATAGTCATCTCAAGTGGTACTTAGTGCAATGGACACTTACAAATCTCCATTTTCTATCCCTATCTCATTTTAATGAATTTCTTTTTATTTTTCTTTTACTTTGAATATTACCTCTCACCTTAATGTGATTTGCTTTCACCGGGACGGTGCAAGTTAAGTCTGGGGGGAGTTTTATTGTGTTACTAATGCATTTTTCTTTCTTTTCTTATGTTTTATTACTTTGTTTCATGTTTTTCAAAAAGTTTTATTGAGTCAAAAACCAGTCCGGAAGTTATGAACTTGCTTTGAGAATTGATAGTGTTGTGCTAACAATCCATGACCCTAGAGCAGAAATCAGCTAAAGGCACAAGCCTAACAGAAGCTCTTACAGTGGATCGACATGCTAGCTCAGCAAAATTTCTAAGGTAACCAAGCAATCTAGAGTTAACCTCACCCTTAATCAATCTTAATAACTCTTGTCAAGGGGATTGGCATACATGTCGACAGTTCCTTGCTTGATTTTCAATGAGATTTGTCTAACCTTTAAAGAGTTCTCCTCTCTCTCCCATCCCAAATGGTAAGTAATATTTATGAGAAAAAGCTCAAAGAGCACAAGGAAAACAAGTAAGCATGAGGAATGCATATGTCTGTACCTTCATGTCTTATGGAATACCTTATCAAACAAGGAACAAGCTAAAGACTTATCCTGTGGTTGAAAGAAGGGTCAATAGAAAAAATAAAATGATACCCTAGAAAAGTAGGGAGAAATTGACCTTTCAAAGTTCTGATGTGAGAAAGAGAGAGGAAAAGAACTCATTGCACTTCAAAGACAATCTTGGAGAAGATCAAGTGGGTAAGAACAAGTTCAATTGATCGATGTTCCCTTGATAAAGAACTCACGCTTTAAATTTATGCAAGAGGTTAGCAATAGAGAGTTTGGATTGCTGGATGAGACTAGTTGGGTTGGTATTGTTCGCTAAACTTGCAGGGTGTATGTGAAGCTAACCTTATGTTGTCTATGTTCTTAGTGGAATACAGGAAAGGAACCTTTCACAGGATATTCAAAAGAGCAAGGGAGTTTCCACGTTTTCAAACCTCTTTCACGGATTTAGATTCTGTTTGCTTGGGGACAAGCAAAGATCTAAGTCTGGGGGAGTTGATATACCTCTATTTTACATGCTTTTTATACTGTTTTAGTATTGTTTTCTAATGGTTTTTGGCAGGTTTTCTATCTAAAAAGGTAGTTTTACTGTGTTTATAGTGTCTAGAGTCTAAACAGGTGAAATGATGCATTTTGGAGCAAAACCATAGGATTTGCACTTCAAGCCGCTCCATGCACAAGCATCAACTTTAAGAGGGCCCAGAAAAAGATCTACTCAATGGATTTCATCAAGACCAGTTCCCTGCGTGCTCTGATTGAGTTAACTTTCCAACGCAACTGGAACGGCCTCATTTGGATGAGTAGAAAAGGAGTTATAACCAAAAGAGTGAAGACTGTCCAGACGGCTCTATCGAGAATCAGCGCCCAACCGCGCAGCGGCTGGCCGAGGAACGAATGTTCGCGCTCGGCCAAATCAATCCGTCCGTCTGAAGTCTCGGCCAAAGTTCCAACCATCGGCCGATACGCATCACGACCCGGGAAAGCAATGTCCCGCGGTCGGCCACGCCACGCCACTCACATGCCGCGCACGACCATGCCGCGCGAGCCGGGAAGCAACGCCTCGCGGCCGCGCAACCTCTCGCGTACCACGGCCGATGCGCCGTCCGAGCCGGGAAAGCACGTCCCGCGTCCGGCCGAGAAACATCGGCCAACTTCATCCGTCCGACCACAGCGGCCGACCACGAATCCGTCCGGCCACGACCGTTCCGATCGTCGCGGCCATGACCCGATGTCCGGCCGATCGTCCCGACCGACCGTCCGAACGCCGCGGTCGACCCGAAGCCCGTTTTGAAGCCCGTTTCACTATTTTCAAGGCCCGGCTTAACCCTAAGCCGCCTCTGAAAGACCTAGCACTATATATATAGCTTTTTAGCCTCTTGTGAAAAGAGAGCCGCCCTTGTATTTCGATTTCCTACTCTAAGTTTTATTGCAATCATGTTTTCTTCATCTCTATGTGTGTTTGCTTTGATCATGTCTGAGTAATCCACTAGTTAGGTTGCTAGGGTTACTATTCAATGAGTTGCTTGCATGATCTTTGATTTCAATGATTAGCTAGGGATTATATAGAGTCTTTGTCTCGTCTTGTGCACTTAACTAATGCTGATTGCTTTACCGCGCATCTAGTAATCCGATCTTAGGTTGATTTGAGCCTCGACAGTGTTGTATCATTCGCCGGACATATTCTTTGGCAAGCTAGGTTTCTTAGACTGCGAAAGTTGATCTACTATAATCTAGTGAACTGTATCAGAACCTATTCATTCAAACGAAAATAAATAATGAATGTTCAGCCGTTACAAATTGCAAAATATCCACCATAAATTTCACGTAAATATTATGATCTTTTAATAAATCTCGAAACAAAGCTATTCTGCAAAATTCTCTAAAAATAATATCTAACCCCCAATTTTTTTGTTGAACACGTAAACAGTGAATTTTTAACCGTTATATTTTCTCTTTCAAAAGTAATTCAAAAATCTCTCGTCCCCATAAAGATAAAGTTATATATAAAAAATATTAAATATCTACCTTAAAATTCACGTCAAAAATTTATTAAAAAAAAAACTTTAACCGAAACTATTCTGCA